TTGTTTGTGGAGTCATCAATTATATTCGCGTACATCCCCTAAGCTTGAGAAATGCTCTAAAATATTTCATTGCGAAATTCAATTGGAGACTTGTTGCTAGGCGAGATAAATTGCTTTCTCCTATTTTCTTGTTTACATTAAAAATTTGTGAATTTTATTAAGCATGTTGTCTGCGACCTTAACTGACAACTTAATCCAGTTTCACATAAAATATTGCTGGGCATATTTTTTGCATAATATCACTTATTAAACTGACAAGCTGCCCCACTGTATGCGAGCCACAAGATATGCTGTGGCTTCCACTTTTATTCACATTTTTTTCAAATTTTTTATTATTTTGCACACATTACACATACCGCACGTTAGCCCGGACGCTTGTCCTCCGCAGCGCTCACACGTGTCGCTGCTGCGGTCGACAGGGGGGGTGAGGGGGGGGGTGCAGAGTGGGCGAGAAAATGGAAAAAAACAAACGTGGTTATGAAATAAAAATCTTTTGAAAATTCCTTGACCCGAAAGCAAATAACAGCGAAGCAGGGCAGAAACCACAGAGCGACTAAGTAAACAACATTTGCTGCCAGACGGAGCAGAAATTGAACCTGGACCTGGACATGGACCTGGGACCTGCAAATTGGAGCCTGGGCGCTGGCACCCGCAACAGGCTTGCGCATATGACCGTGGACATCAATCAAAAATACGTCTCAATTGTGGACGTGGCAGTGGCTTCTGGCTGTTGCCTGCGAGTGGCTGGAGGCAGTGGAATTTTCAATTTCATCTTGCGGCTGAATTTATTAAATTGTTTGGGGTCGGTTCGCTGCTTACCAAACGGCCAAAGTCGTAACCGTAAGCATAATTTATGTGAAGAAAAATAAATAATGTGGCTGCGTTGCCATAGAGACATCCCAGCCACTGACAAGAACTTGAACAGTTCCCTCCAGCTGCCATTCAGCTGGCACTACAGGGCCCTCTAGAGCTCTCTAGAGCTCTCTAGTCTTTCTCTGGTTTCTGGTTTCTGGTTCGCTTTACAGCTCGTTGACAGACGCTCGAGTTGTAGCGCCAACGTATCAATCACATGAATTGATGTAACCACAAAGGCAACAATGAATGAGTAATGAACGTGCCAGCCAGCCGCCACGGCTTCAGCACAAGCTGATACTTTACCATTGATATGCACTTTGATTTTGATTTGTTATGCTATGCTGCAGTCGAAGATTGCAAATGATTGCGAATGCCACCTCAACATGATGCACAACAGTGAACGACATCAAAGAGGAAAATCGTCTCATCACTCAAGCTATATCAGAGCCGGTTACGCAAGTCTCATAAAAGAAAGCAGGTCAAGCGAATGGAAAATTATCATATAAATTATATAGCCTAAGTAGCATGCTTCAGTCTATCAATCTGTCAGCTCTATCTCTCTCTCTCTCTCTGTCTTTCTCTCTCTCTCTCTCTCTCTCTCTACTTTCTCTGTCTACTTCAGTAACACTCGCTAAAACTCAATTGAAGAGCTATATCAATTCAAAGAGCCTTCACAGTGTTTTTTTTTTTCTGTTTCTGCTTGCCACTTGCAACGGATTCACGCACTTTTTGCAGCAAATCGAGTGCAAATATAAATAAAACTTGCAGCACTACAAAAAAGGTGGGGGAGAACGAAAGCAAAGAGTGAATGCACGTAATGGGGCAATTGGCTGCTGCAACGCGTTTGCCGCGTGCTTTTAAAGCAGTTAGCCTCGTTTCGGTTTATTGGCCGGCCATTTAACAAGCTCCATTTGGTGCCTGGCCACAAAGCGAACTACACACGCCCCAAGCATATTTCGGTGTAGGTGGCACAGTGCGAAGTGTGGAATATTGCGCATACGCCACGTTGCGCCTTATCGGAAAAAGCACATTGGTAACGGGTCGGACCGGGCTGGGCCCGTACCCGTGCCGACACTGGACATGAGCCTGCATATTTATGAGCCTTGGCTAAGGACACTGCTTATGGGCTTTGATGTTGGGCGTGATTTGTTTTACTACGCGTCCCAACCAAATGTTGACAGACAGCCGGAAAAAAGGATGGTGAAGTGGGTGCAGCGGGCTGAGGAGCAGAGCGCATAAAGTGTGGGATGTAAGTTTGCCCATCAAACGTTTGTGTTCTTTATAAAGTGGAAGTGGGCTAAGAGCTTGAATGACTGAAGCCAGCTGGACTGAGTAGGTAGTTTAGAGTGCAGCATGTAAATTGTCGGCTGTATGTTTATCTGAATGGTATACTACAATATGATAAGCTAGTGAGCTCTGGTCTACTCAAATGGCTTGGCTTGAGAGAGTGAAGAAGTGTAGGCTGAAGGGAATAGAATGTGTGCAACAGTCTAGGCTAGCTAGACTGACTGATCCTTTGTAAATCTTTAAGGTAAAATTTCCGGTAAATAAACTGAAGGCAAAGGGATCCGAGCTATCTATGTTAAGGAAGTACATAAATAGCTCCAGTTAGAATAAAGTGCTCGGAAGGGCTTTCCCAATTAGTATAAATTATTGCAAGAGACGAAGGTCTATTTTTAACTAAAACTGGCTGCTACACTCCGAGTCGAGAGTTCCGAGTGGTCTCCCATGATACAGTGTAGCAGTCTGTGGAGTGTCTTCTCTTATAATATAACAAAGGCTACAGCCCACAGTAGTAGTAGAGTAGAGAGTTCCGAGTGGTTTAACAAGATATAGTGCTGGGATACAGTCAGAGTTAAGCTTCTGCTCTTATAGCATAAATTATTGTTGGAATGCTAGTATTGCGTTGGTGTCTAACTGCAGTTCCTCTTCAGCCCTTCAGCTCTTCAGCTGCCAGCTAGCAGCCAGTCTACTTAGCTAGCCCATGCTCATACCCATGCCCATTCCCATGGCCAGCTTCAATTAGACTGGCAACAAAATTGCTTTTGAACTGTGAAAACTGAATTTTTGCTGGGTATCGTGTTGCAAGTGGCAGCTAGACACGTGCCACATTGGCCTCGTTTGACAGCTATTGACAAGCACTTTTCACATTTATTGACAGTTTGGGCTCCGTTCACGGAGTGCGCTTCAATCTGTCATGTTGACACAGAAGTCGTGAAATTCTTTAGAAATGGCACGCAGACAGACAGACGGCAGCTATGGGCCAACAATGTTGCAGTTGAGTGTGCAATAAACTTGCCCACAAATTGACATTTGATGGCCTGACCAGAATAAGAATAAAATGCGTGGCATGTTCAAAAGGCTGCACTGGCTCTTAACGTGGCTGCTTGACTGCTTTCAGTAGCCACATTTCACATTCCACAAGCCACATTCCACAATCTACATTCACCTCGACTGACGGATGAAGTCATTTGTTTCCCCTGCGCCTTAAATTAGGCAACACTTTTTTAACAGACCCACAAAATACGGTCTACTTAATTTGTAATGGCGTGAAAACGGCTAAAAATTTTGCATATTATTTTGGGCGCTTATCAAAAAAGGTTCAGGCCAGTAGCATAAAAACAAAGTGTATACAGTGCACTTACAATGTGAACGACTAACGAATACCCTGCAGCTGGGTAGAAACAGTTTTTAAAAAAATTATAATTATTTCTAAAGAAACAAAAGTTAAATCGGCATCAGGTTTCAAGATATCTGTATGTATAAAATAAAAAAGCTTAGGTTCAAAAATCGTCTCGATGAACTTATTATTTGCGTTGTGGCTTGACATCATATTTTTGGTATTTTTGTGGTATTTTTTCTAGATCTAGGAAATATTTTCAGGCAACATTGAAATACAATGATTAAAAAGTTGTTTACAGTTCCACAAACATTTTCCTGCAATTCCTAATTTCAATTACATATATTATTTATTATATTCTCTAACTAGTTAGTTTCTTACCAAAGTCAACATTTTGCTTATGCTTTATTCAGTCTCCATCGCTCTAGTTGCTCGCAAGAAACCAAATTATGTTGACTGTGGTCGCTTCTATTTGATGGCAGGGCATGTAAAGTGGCCCTCAAGAGATTAATTTTCGGCTCGGCCTGCAATTATACAACAATTAAAAAACAAACGCCTAAAGTGCTCAGTCCGCGAGGCCGCTGGCAATTGGGAATGAATGTGGGGTCGTTAGATCCGGAGAGAGAGAGATAGAGAGGGAGAGAGAGCGAGGGAAAGAGGGAGCGAGGGGCAGCAGCGTTTTTGGTGGGTTGGAAACTAACCCACGGCTGCCCGCACACAAATTACTGCGGCTTAATTAATGGCCAAGAAATGTTGGTGCGTCAACAGGGAAAAGTTCAAGCGCAGCCAAAAGCAGCGTGTTTCGTGTTGACAACCAAAACAGAAAAAAAAGAAACAAAGTTTTTGAACAAGGAGTGGGAGTTGCGAGCGGCTGTCTTCTGCGCGTGTAATGGCAGGCGTTGACGTGGGCGACGTGAGCTGGTGGCTCATGTGCGCCCCGTCGAAGATGGCGACAAGAAAGTGCCACATTTTTCAGTCTCTTGTCTTGACGTCACAGCCAACAGCAACAGCAACAGCAACAACAATGGCTTGGTGAGCAGAGCTATTTGACTGAGAAGCATTTTTGGGGATCCTGTCGGGATATTTTGCAGTTTGTCTGTTGCTGTGGGTACAGATGCGTGTGTGTGTGTGTGAGTGATGTGGTGCGTGTGTGTGTGGCGTGTGTCATGTGAGACATGCTCATAAAAAGCGTTTATTCAACCAAGAGCCAAGCAAGTGCTACATGACACCAACAACAACATCAACAACAACAACAGCAACAACAACCGCAAACAGGCAACGACAAAATGGCGACGTGCCAGAACTCTAAACCGTTTGCCGCCGTCGCTGCTGGTTCGAGTGATTCGGGTGGTGCCTGTGCCTCGCCAGCGTTTGCTTGTTACGGGGGTAATGCTGATTTGGCTTTTACCACATTATTATGTCTTAACTGAAACTTGTTGTTGTGCCCATTATTCCTGGTTTTCCTTTCGTCTACATTGTGCTAACAACTCTTTCATGTGGATTTCTTTCTTTGTTTTGCTTACAGGCTGCCAGTTTGTTAGGACGCTTTGCATACCCCACTCCGAGGTCTGTTACGATGGTAAGTTCAGATATCAACGACAACAGTCGATTAACTCTATATACATATACATATACACACTACAACAACAGCAACAGCAGCAACAACAACAATATCTGATTGTGTGTGTTTATAAAGTGTCAGCCAGTGTCTTTATCAACTGTGCAGAAATATTGTATGATGTTTAAAATGGGTGAGGATTAGGCAGAGATGCATATCTCCGGGTTATTTGTCGTTAATGGCCCAAAGTTTGCCTCTTAGAGAGTGCAAATATAGTTGGAGGATGTGCTATAATAAAAATAAATATATTTTCTATTGAGAGTGGTTAGTGTTTAGAGGAAGGCAGTTAAAAGTTCAGATTTTAAAAAAAGAAGCAATAATAAACTAATAGGTGTCATATTTACCAAAGAGAGCCCGAGCATTCAACAATTCTTACCCAATTGCTCTAGCACAAAAACAGAAACAAATCTTGCCTAGAGACTTGCACTTAATTCCAATAAACTTGCAGCTGGAAACGTTTCTATTTAAGAGCATTTTGGTTGAGCATCTGAACAGTTGAACTAATGACAGGCTTTGGTGCTTTATCCAAGTGAAACGTGAACTGCACAGCCCGAGGGTGCTCGATAGCACTTAGTGCTCAATAGCAGGCGAAGCTGCAACACAAAACGATTTCACACGCACATACACACACACACACGGCACACACAACCTCCTCAGAGGGAAAGGCGATTGCGAGCAATGACCAGAAATGCGCTTCGGACCGCTCTGAGTGGGAAAAAAATGCCATTCTATGGGTCAAATTGCAGCAGGCGCATCTGAGTTTTGGGATTCATTTTCCAGCCGCTGGTCCCGGCCTGAAGTATAAATTTTCGTATTTGCCCAGTGCTTCAAAGCGAAGCGCATTCAAAAAGCGTAAAGAAGGACCAGAAAAGGAGCCCCAAAACAATTGGGGGAGCCATGGCAGGACTCGGGGTCTTGGGGATGGGAGCAACAGTGCATTATCGAGAACACACTCAATTACTTATGTAAGCGCTGTGAAATTTCGTTGACGGCGGGGCCGACTGAGAACAATTGCAACAGCTGCAGCTGCTGCGCGAGAAGAAGAAGAAAACCTGCGAAAAATAGTGAAAATGGCAAGGGAAGAAAATAAAATAGAATGAATTGTTTGACCCCAAAAGCGAAGAATGTTCGCGCTCAAATGTAAAAGGGGAAACTGCACTTGGAAAAATTTGCTATAGACTTTGTATTGAATAGGAAAGGAGACAAAAGGAAAGGCGGTGAAGCCAAGAAGGATGCAGATGGTATAAAAAAAAAAAATAGTGGAGAATATTTTTATCAGTGTATTGAGACAAGAAATTATACTATATATATATATATATATATATATTTTTTTTTTTTTTGTTTTTTGTGAGTTTATTTAAGCTAGGCAAAAAATAGTGTGTGAGTAGTGAATATTTTTGTCAGTGTATTCACACACATATCTGATATGACATGTCAAAAAGACAAATTCTGCAAAAAATCCATGGTCAGGGCTGACTCAATCAAATTGGGCTAGATTTCTGCCAGTGTATCGACGGCCACGCTTAGAAAGTTCGTGTGAAACCTAAGCTGCACTCAGAAAAATTGAAAACAGACTCAGAGAACATAGCAACGCTCAGGACTGACGGTACACCCCAAAGCGCAAACAATATTTAATGAATTTTTTATCAGTGTATTCACACACATGTCGAGGTATTTATTATATGGGGAGCTGGGAGCCGCAGTCGCAGTTTTTTTTCAGCCCAGACCGCATTTACATTATGCAAATGAGGTTCGAGACTAGCGGCAAGGATATGCATTTAAACGCTCGTAAATCAGGGTGAAAACAAAAGGTGGCCAATGTGTTGTGTGTGTGGCAGGTGGATGGGTGAATGAGTGAATGCGGGGGTGTTCCGCAGGCGGTGGTTGGGGATTGTGTTGCAGTCATTGTAAGACACGCGCTATTAATGCAGTTACATGGCCTATTAAAATTGCGCATAATTTGCATTCCGCAGACAACATCTTTGGGAAGTGCATTCCGACCACTGGAGTTGACGTCGAGGACATTGAGAAGTAATTATCCTTGTCGCAATTTGCATGCGAGTGCGACCGGCTAATTGTATTGTCTCTCTGTTCGCAGGACACCACTCACCGAGGACCAATCACGTCTGCTGGCAACCATGCTGGAGGAGCTGCAGGGCGCCGGCCTAGGCTGGGACCATCATTACGTGCAGTGCCGCATCCAGGGAGCGCTCTTCTCGCTGCAGCGCCAACAGCAGCTGCCGCCGAACCTCTGCGCCAACCTGGCGCCAGCGCCACCCGACTATGGCGACCCGGCGAGCGCGTTAGCCTATGTGCGATTCACGCCGCCGGAGGCGGAGCAGCTGGAGTTGAGCAATGTGGACTACTTGGATCAGACGCAGCCCAGGCAGCAAGCGCAATTCTATCCAGCGATGCACAAGAAGCAGTCGCAGGACAGCGGCTTCAATAGCATCCTCCATCAGCTGCAGCTGCAGGATCGCCGTCGGCTGCGTCACGATCCCAGCGAGCTGGAGCACTTTGGCAAGCTGGACGGGCACATGAAGAACTCACAACTGGAGCTTCCGAGCGTGATGGATGCGTTTTTGGACACGGAACGGCAACGGATGGCGATGCGACTGGCCGAGCAGGACGCCAACTCGAAGGCGGGCAGTCCGCACAATCGACTGGAGCTATACCAAATACTGGCCGCCTCCGAGCCCGATCCGCAGCCCTATCAGCGCAACCAACAGCCAGCCAATGCCATGGACGAGCTGGAGGCGATTGTGGAGCAGCAGCAGCAGCAGCAACAACAGCAGCAGTCGCAGTCTCAGGACCCGGATCCGCCGTCGGCAGCACCCGCCTTTCTACCCGATGAGCTAAACGAGTCCAGTGAGCTCTATTTCCCGGACAACTATGCGCCGTTCAAGCGTCGGGGACAGCAGCTGAAGCACTCCTTCTTCCGCGAACTGGCCAACGAGCAGGGCCTGGCCCAGGAGCCGTTGGCTCAGCTGGCTGCCCAGCCGGAGCTGATGAAGAGACGCCCCAGCGACAACGACGTCAATGTCCAGGAGCAGGAGCTGGCGTTCGAGACCAGCTTGCGCCGCAACTCGCTGACACCCCTGGAGGAGGAGGCCATGCTGGCATCCAACAGCTATCCGCGCGCCCTGCACAACCAGCGCGTCTACACGGAGGGTGGGTTGCTCTTGGTGCCGCAGGACGAGCTGCAGCAGGACTCGGCGCAGGCGGACGAGCCAGCGAGCATCAAGCAAGCGCTGCTGGCCAACATGCTGGGCTTTGCGCGTCACGAGCGACTCGATGTGAAGAAGCCGGGTCCCCAGCTGGGTCCACCGTCCTCTGAGCAGAGCAACCAGGTGGGTACAGAGAAGCCGCAGCATGCCAAGGATGTCAACAAGGAGGTGCTGCCCGCGCACATCAAGGGCGGCGATGTCAACGAGCCGTTCAAGAAGAAGAAGGTCGTCAAGGAGCAGCACTCGGACGAGGATCATGCGCCGCACACCGTAGACACTGAATATGCACATGTGTTCGTGAAGAACCCGTAAGCTCAAGCTAACCAAAATCAAACTGGAATTTCCCGAATTCAACTCTTTCTCTTTCCACACAGCATTGACAGTTGGTACGATGGGCAGCGCATCATGAATGAGCTGGCGCAAATACTACACATGCAGGGATACTTTTCTTATTTAACGTAGGTTCTATGACCATTAGGTCTCAATTACTATTGATAATTGCTGAAAACTTTGTTCATTCCATCATTGATCATCTCAATGCTCTGCAGCGTTCAACCGCACGAAGTCAGCTTCCGGGTGGACTCAAACAACCCCGAGCGCAAGACGGCCGCTGATGTAGCTCGCTACATCAATGAGAACCGCGGCGTCAAGAACAACATCCAGCGACGCGTCGGCTTCTATGTGCTGCACGCCGGCGTCGGCGATCGGGTCAAGGATCTGCGCGATTCGAGCATCTCTGCGTCTCCTATTGAGCTGGCCGAGCAGGGGCCGGATGTGACCCACATAATGGCCTACATGTTCGCCGGTGCAGGCGCCGCGGCTGTGATTGTGATCTTTGTGACGCTCATTCTGATCAGGCGGCACGATCGCAAACGCGACAAGCTGGGCGGCCTGCAGACGGGCATGTCGGGTGCGGAGAGCTGCAGCAAAGACTATCAAGAGCTCTGCCGCGCACGTATGGCCGGAAAGAATGGCAACACAACGACTGGCAGCGCTGGTGGTGGTGTCGGTGGTGGTGCCAATGCTGGCACCGATCAGGCCCACAGCGGACGCATCACCTCGCTGAGCAAGGAGAACGAGGGCCGGCCGCCATCATCACGATCCAGCACGTCATCATGGAGCGAGGAGCCAGCGTTGACGAACATGGACATCTCAACTGGACACATGGTGCTGGTGAGTAGAGAAAGGAACCTGCTTTAAGTATGCCCCATTTTGTACTCCTTGATGAAGTTAATGGGGCCTTGCTGTCCACCCATCTGTCTGTCCATCTGTCTACTCCTATGGGAGTGCGGTAAATCGAGAACTGTTTCCTCTAATTTAAACCCTCTTTCTGCAGTCATATATGGAGGATCATCTGCGGAACAAGGGCCGATTGCAGCGTGAGTGGGAGGCGCTGTGCCGCTACGAGGCAGAACCCAGCGCCCGAGATGCCGCCTCCCAGCCGCAATGCGCTAACTTGAATCGACCCGGTGCTCCGCTGCCCTACGATCACTCGCGGGTGGTGCTCAACCATCTGGCCAATGCCGAGGGACTGGACTATGTGAATGCATCAACTATTGTAAGTAGAGATGACTTAGACTTAGGAGCGAATTCCCTTAATTCCCGTTATATTTTGATCTCAATCCGCAATCAGACCGATCACGATCCTCGTGCACCCGCCTATGTGGCAGCCCAGGGGCCTTTGCCCTCGACCTTGGCGCACTTTTGGCAAATGATTTGGGAGCAGGGCGCTGTTGTCATAGTTGCCCTCTGTCGCCTGCAGGAGAATGGAGAGGTGGCCTGTGCACGCTACTGGCCGGAAGAGGGTGCGGAGGTTTATCACATCTATGAGGTAAGCGGACTCCACCCGACTCCGTTTGGCAACTAAAACTAAACTAAGCTCTGCTCGCCTTAGGTTCACCTGGTTAGTGAGCACATCTGGTGTGATGATTACCTCGTACGTTCTTTCTACTTGAAAAACTTGCGCACTAGCGAAACACGCACCGTGACCCAATTCCACTTCCTGTCCTGGCCGCAGATGGGCGTGCCGCCGCAAGCGAAGGCGCTGCTGGACTTTAGACGGTGAGCTGCTAAGGATCTCATATATATTTCCTCTTTGTATTAACTCTCCTGGGCTTTGCAGCAAGGTGAACAAGTCGTATCGTGGTCGCTCCTGTCCCATTGTGGTACATGGCAGCACTGGCGCCGGACGCACTGGCTCCTACATACTGTTGGATCTGGTGCTGGGACGCATGAACAAGGGCGCACGCGAAATAGACATTGCCGCCACACTGGAGCATCTGAGGGATCAGCGAGCTGGCCTGGTGGCCACGCGCCAGCAGTTCGAGTTCGTGCTGATGGCCGTGGCCGAGGAGGTGCATGCCATACTGAAGGCTCTGCCGGCGAACACGTCGGGCGAGAAACGTGAGCTGGACAAGGACAATGGCGCCACCAAGGAGCCGCTCAAGGAGGACAAGGCACAGGAGGCCGCCGAAGAGGAGGCGCCGACCAGCAGCAGCAAAGCAGCAGCAGCCGCCGCAGCCAAGGAGAAGGGGCCGGCCAAGGAGTCCACTCCCAAGGACTCCAAAGCGTCCGCTGAGCAGAAGAAGAAATAGGCGCGCAGATAAAATGCAAAACAACAAAGCAAAATGAAACCAAAAACAAAAAAATAACCAAAATAATAATTCTTTAGTTTACATCACGTTTGTTGCAGCGTTTCGGGGGTCTAATTTAGTTGTTGTAGCTAGTATTAAAGTACACACATTGTTTTCATGCAATTTATGTTGAAAGGTCTAAGCACTTGGAAGGTTCGAAAAGGGCTCAACATGGTCGGCCAGAGTTGGATACGCATTAACTGTTCAGTTATTATCTAAAAACAAAATTTAAATATATATATATATATATATATATATATATATGTAAAGAACTATATGTATATGTATATCTTAAGCCTATGTTCAGCACAAATTGCACCAAGTGAAAGAATAACCAAATAATTTTATAGCGCTTGCAATGCTGCCACAGAGCTTGCCCCATCGCCAGCATGCTGCAACGGGTTCGCACACCAGCCCGTGTCATCCGTTGAGAGCGTCTCTGGCTGGGGTCAACTCAAGCTTGTGGTCGCATTCGGCGCGCCGCACATATATTTCTATCAAGTACATGAATATATATAAAACGTATATAAAAGTATGAGAAACATAATTTGAGTGTTATATACAAGACAAATATTTATATATATATATATATGTTATATATATATACATATACATGTGTAGCTGTTAAGCATTTAAATTCAATTATGAATGCATTTTATCTATCGATGTTGGCATAAAACATTTAAAGCAAACCACGCATATGAATACCCTTTACTTTTTGGTGTGCATATAAACCTCTAATCGATGTGCTTGAAATAATCAGCGGGAAAGATGATCAAGAAAAATGAACAAGAACAACAAACAACAAAGAAACTAAATGGTATACATATGCCAACAACTACAACAACACGTGACACACATACAACATACATATACAAGATCAGACATATACATCTATATATATATATATATATATTATATATATACCGCAAGAGGATGAATGTAAAATTTGTACCTAAACGAAGAATGAAACGCAAAAATTTCTATTTACAAAAAACTAAAAACCAAACATTAAAAAAAAAAAAAACAAAAAATGCAGATACAAAAGCTATTGATGTGTACGACAATTACTTATACAAGTTTATTATATATTGAAAAAAACTCTATATATTATAAATATATATATATATATACAATATACATTATTCATATACAATATGGTGAGTGTCAATATTTATATTATATTATATTATATGGACTAACTACTATATCTGAGTGTAAATTTTCAGCAAAACATATTTAAATATTGTTTTACCAACCATATGTGTGCAAGTTATTATGTCTATATATATACATAATCTCTCTATTTGTTCAGTTCTCTCATTAAACCAAAATCCCAAAAGAATTTATTTCGAACCAAAATCCAGTAACCCAAAATGAAAAATAAAAAAAAATACCACATCGGCACTAGGCTCAGCGAGTTCGTGCAGTTTGTGCCCAGCGCTTTAAACTCATGTATTTCTCATCTGATTTCGAGGCAGCTAAAAGCACTGCTCGCAAACCGTTCGCACTCGCCGATCCCCTAGAATCATGTCGAAACAAAAGTTTAGGAGGGTGTGTCACACACATATCTGGAGAAGAAGAAGATAGCGCAACATCTAGAAATCGAAGCTTTAACAACACACAAAATTGTTAATTAATGCTTTCGCCGGCATGCAATAGAACATGATAAGAAAATACTAAATACACATATATAAATACAATTACAAACACAACAACAAAAATACATATACAATCAAACACTCACTGACACACACACATCACATGAAAATACGATTCAAACTAAATGAAATCCCCACTCAGGCATGACCCTTTGAATGTTTCAAATGGACAATTAGCTAAATGTTAACCAGGAACTTAACTAAGAACACATGGTTTAGGTGCGGTGTCTAAAAAATACTGCATTACACGTTACACGAAACACAAAACAACGGAATCGCCACAATGATACATATGACTACAAATGATATCCACAACTGACTAAAGATAATACAAATTAGTTATGTAAGTGCAAAATATTCAAAAAAAAAAAAAAGCCAAAAAAAAAAAAACTACAAATATATATTAAAAATACCAAAATATAATACATTCCTATATGGACAGAAGAACAGGAGCAGCTGAGTTGATTAAACGCAGTATCTGAAAATGAATGTATTTAAATGCAAATGCTGCAAGTTAGCACAAAAATTACTGCAAAAAAATACCCATAAACAAAAGAGAAATATTAAAGTAATTAACAGTTTGCTGTAGCAGTTGGTGTTAAAAAATAAAAAATACATGCGTTATTTGTAGTTTGAGAAAAACTTTTTGAAAACAAAAAAACCAAATGTCAACTAAATAATGTTAAGCAAATATCAAAAATTAACAAATTTAACTAGACGCAATATTTGTTTGTTAGTATTTCCTTCGTTACAATGACAAGATTCATTAAATACTTTTTTTTTTTTTTTAAATACACAAACACAACACAAAAGCAAAAAACAATATTACAATAACTGTGGCAGGCCCAACAACAACTTGGGGCTTGCAAAAATCTCTTAAAAACTCTTATAAACGTGGTAGAAAGTAAAAAAAAAAAAAAAAAACACAATTTAAAGTTTACAGTAAAAAAAAAAAAAAAACACTTAAGAAAAAGAAAATTTAATATTTAGTAGTGAGTTTTTTCCATTAATTTAACAAAAGGTTTTTCAGTGTTTATTAAATACAAATTACAACCAAATATTTCCAAATGTTCTTCGAAAAACAAATTAAATAAGTGTACTAAACCAAAATGAAGAAGACGATAAACTCTAGATGTATTGTAGTAAAAAGTATATAAAGTATATAAAAGGCAATTATTATTGATGTATATTCGAAAAAAAAATACAATTATATTATATTCAAAAGCATACAACCATGCGTAGCAAATTGAACGGAACTTACAAAATAACACAAGCAAAACTTATTATAATGTAATAAAAATTAAATGTTTAAAAATATATATAAATATATTTATATATATGTTTATATATATAATAAAAGCATACAATATACGATATGTATGTGTACGTAGTTCAGGCACAGAAGTTATCATTTCTTAAAGCTATTTTCATTGATGGTGTAACATAGATATACAAAGAACTAAAAAAAAAAACTACTCTAAAAAATACAAAATTGACACAGATTTTGACAATGCTTATGCAAAAACAAAAACGGTACATTATGACCCCGAAGTCTAGCTCAAATCACAGCTCCCGCTGGAGTACAGAGAGCGAGGCTTCCAGTGAATATAATAATTATAGTATGGATAAAAATACATACCAACAAGGCTGGCATCAATTGGTTAGCTGAATTCCATCGAGAGCAAGGTACGATCGCTGCCCGAGTACAGCAGGCACAGATAGATACAAACCGTGGACCGATCTGGACAGACTTAAATGACCGACGAACTGCATACAAAATGGTTTGAGTTCCTAGTTAAACGCAAGCTGACTCTGGAGACGTAGACGTACCGACGGACATTCTGGACTGGCTGTAAATACGCACATCTTAGCATTGGACACCCTGAAAAAATACTACAAATATTAAGAAAAATACCGACCTGAACATGGACAACACAAAACTAAATATGGTTTGCCGATATCTTAAAGCGTTCATCGTATCATTTCTCTCGATCGAATTCCGAGCTATCAACTTGATGCAGCATTGTTTCTAGATTAGTGTGAAATACATATGACGTTCAACATGATTTATAACAGGAGTACGAAAACTTAAAACTTTGGCTTATTTCGATATGTTAAATGTTTCAATTTCTTGAATAAACAAAAAAGAAAATGAAAATATACAAATACAAATAAATACAAAAATAAAATATGAATATCCATATAACATGCATATTTATCACACATTAAAAACTATGCGTGTTGTAATTAATGAAAACATATATATGTATAATAAAAATCCAGAAAATTAAATATATGTATATGCGAAAATATAATACAAAATATTGCTGTATATTTCAATTAAACAAAATACAACTTAAGCGAAGTCAAATACCAAGCGCAGGCTTTCATACATTTTTGGAAAATAAATGAAATTCTAATATATAAGTTTGACAAATATCGATGTGTATAACATATATAAAAATATTTATATATACATAAATATAAATATCTCTGTTTAGCCACTTGGCGATATTTGTGTTAAAGAAACATTTAAAAAAAAAAAAAAAGTGCATAAAAAATATTCACAAAAAAATTGTAAAACCAGCAGAAAAAATTATGCTGGCTGAGGCCACTTAAAATATACTAAAAATATATGAAAAGAAACAGAAACACGATTACATGAAACGAACGAACACGATTACATGAAATTACACACATTAACATAAACAGGCAAACACATGTTTATGGACATACCTATTAAAGGTTTTTTGTGCAAGCATAATTAAGAGATCAATCTACATATATATATTCACGTATATATATGTATGTATAACATAATATATTTAAATTGAAATCGCTATGCAATTTAAATATATATCTAAATGTACACAAAAACTAAAGGAACAAAATAAATATATATAAATGTATACTTCAATTATTTACGACAATTACATACATACATACAAAGAGAAATGAAATATATAAATATAAATGTTATTATTCAGCAAAACAAAAACCAAATAAAAACAAGTAATTTAATTGAATCGATCGATATATATATAATAATCTCCATCGGAACAAACGAGAGATCATATATCTAAATGTAACGCGCCATTGTGTAATATGCGCTACATATACTAAATAAATATATATACATATATTATCCAATATATACATATATATTTATATATATGTATAACTGGATGTATAAATGTAAATCAAAACGAACACAATTCAGAGCATTGATGATTAGCAGAGCAAGGAAACAATGAAAATTGATTATGATAATGATGTCATCAATTATGTAGAACCGGTAATAATTACGATTATTATTATAATACAAAAAACAAAATAATAAAGAAACCCTTGAAAAAAAAAATACCAAGATCCAAAAACAGATCTCAAAACCAAAACAAAGGAAAAACAATCCCATAAAAAGTTCACTCAAATCGATCAGTGTATTGCACTCAAATGTGAAACCGAATAGCTGCGAGCACAAGCAAATATATTAGTAACACTGTCTAACAAGAGTAAGCGAAAAGGCCATTCCAATGGCCGAAAAGCTACCAAACGCTGTAAACACAACACCACTTTTCCACAGTAAGGCGTGCATGGAATTGCCATTGCATCCATTGCTATATACATAGGTAATATCTCTCTACATAGTTTGTAATCTATCTCTGTTCAATCGACAGTTACAGGATTGGAGAATCTCAATCAACACAGGCACACCTACATACACACACACACACACAGACACACATATATACGCAACTATGTACGTCCCTTACAACACTGGTTAAGGTAACAAACAATTTTCTCTTGATTCGGCAACAAATTCATTTCCTATGGCTAAATATCTGTTCGCATATCATTTTTTTCAGCTTCCCCCTTTTATTCAATTTTATGGCAATTGGCGCTTATTAAGTTTATCTGAAACTATACAGATTATTAAAAATTTTCATTCCAAAATACGTTTGCTTAAAATAAAAATATTTTTGAAAATGCAAGAATATTTTTATCAATTGTATCTCAATATTTTATTCTATTTATTTAGTCAAAGTTTTGTTTCGAAAATTGGCTCAATTGAAACTACAAAATTATTTGCATTCCTTATATAAAATTATGATTAAAAAATGGGTTATATTCTTGAAAAAATGTTTTTGAAAATGCAAGAATATTTTTGTGAAACAAGTTTTCTAATCTTATAAAAAATATCTATACATATATTTTATAAGAAAAATTGGCTTCAGGAGAATCTATCCAAATCTCAAATATTTGTTATGCAAAAAGCAAAAAAAATCTATTAACTGATTTCAAAAATAATTGGCTTTTGAAAAATTCTATGTTTTTCCCCACAATAATTTTTTGTACCCAAAAAATTGGCAATTTGGCACTTCATTTAAAATTTCTATACTTTAAACAAAACTACACAATAAGACAACTTGGCTCTAAACAAGGTCTGTGAAGTTGCCTACATATCTCTTATCTTAAAGCAAATATGCATTTGCATTGAAAAAGTAAATCAATCAAAGCTTCCAAATGAAGAAACTAAGAAACTAAGAAAAAGCGCACGGCAGTGCTAAAGGCAGAGGCACAAAATTGTTTTTTTGTTGTTTTTTGAGAAACATTCGGCCATCTATATGAAATAGACGTAAAGAAAAGCATGCGTACTGCATGTCTAAAGAACGTAATTATAACAAATATGATCTGTATATAATATTTATATATATATACCGATCATATAAAGAATACATACATAGAGTATAGGCAACGCTGCGATTCCAGTTCCATTTCCCTTGGGAAATGTTGATCGATCGCGATATATATTATTGGGGGTGGGTTAAACCAGTAGGTTCCTCGCCTTAGAGTATTTTTTTTGGGATACTCTGCAAAGAGTCCCACCCTTAGCAAATGGAGCAAGTCCTAGCTACATACATAACCAAAAAAAAAGTGTTTACACTAACAAAAAAAAAAAAAATAATAATAAATAAAATATATACATATATATATAGCCAAAAAACATATTAAGCACATTCACTATGCAAATTACTCGTTAATCAATATATATATAAACAAATATTCACATATTTAATCCATTGGTGTAAAGCAAGCATTGAAAAAATACAAAAAAATTATAAAAATTAAAAAAAAAAACAAAAAAAAGGACAACAAAAATCTGGCGACATTTTTTTATTTGCATAGATCGGACTCTTTACACTTATACTTATATGTTCTTTGGATTAAAGGCAAACTCAGTTTCATTTCCCCACATTTTTGCAAATTTTCACGTTACGTGCCAGAGGCAGTGTGTCTGTGTAGTGAGAAAGTAATCACATACTTAACGCACAGCTTCGAGCACTTGTGTCCGACCTTCACAATGTGTTTCATTATGCTGCACGCCACAGACACGCCCCTAGGTGTAGCACCCTTTGCCAAGCCAGCCCGCACACCCGCTTAGATCCGCACCCATTGCCCATTGCCGATTGCCCATTGCCCATTGCCACTTGCCACCCCTTTGCGCCGCTTCGCTTTGCAGAACAAAGCAAAAATACCGCGCCAAAAAATACACACAATATATAAATAAATAATAATGAAACTAGCAGCAAATCGGGTCATAGCCAATTTTATATGCTAGCGACTGCTGTGGTGGTTCAAGCGCATCTGAGTTGCCCTGCCCCCTGTGCATGTGTGTGTGCGTGTGTGTGTGTGTGTATGTATGTTTTTTTTTTCGAGTTTTCGATTTCGTTTGGTATTTTGGCACAATTTCAGCTTTCGTCTGGTTTCTGTTCGCCTGTTCCGTGTGTCGGAACATTTCTTTGAAATGCCGCAATGAAAGGCAAAAAGCCGCCGTGCAAACGCTTTGATGATTTTCCGCATGCCGCCGCACCACCAACCACCAACTGCCAGCAACCAACAGCGACAACAACAACACCAAGCGACAGCCAGCGACAAGGAACGATTTGATGACTGCGTTTCTCTCTCACTCTCACTCCATCTCTCTCGCACTCTCTCGCTCTCGTTCTTTCCCTGGCTCTTCTTCTTTTTTTTTGGCCGTCTGATGATGATGTTTGTTGCTGTTTGCGTTTGCATTTGCCATGCCCGGCATATCAATTTAGGGGAGTGGCATGCGTGACGCTTAACTGAACGAGATTATAGAGTCTTCTCACTCCCAATGCCCACAAAAGACCCCCGACCCTAAGGCAGCCACAGAGTGCCACAGTGTGCCACAGTTTGCGGCAAGCTCTTTGTTGTTTCCCACTGCAGCTGGGCGTTGCCGTAACAGGAGCACGAGGAGCGGCGTTAGCGACAGGAAGAGGAAGAGTAACAGGAGCACCAGACACTCAGACTCGACTCAGCGCGCAACATTAACAACAAAAACTAAAACAACAACAGCAATAAATGTGCCCAGAGCAATTCTCTTGATTGCGGTTTTGATTTACTTAGCTGGCTTTAGTGCTTAATTCATCAACGCCTTGCCTTACAGATAGGATATGTTTGATTGTAGATATAGCACAGGGTATATAAGGCAGACAATAAGGCTTGCCCCTGCTTCGCCAGCTTTAGACTGCGTGTGATCCAATGGTCTCTGATTAAAAGACAAGCAAGCCTATGCCATTTTTATGGCATTTCAATTTTTCACATATATTTTGTATAAATTATGTTATGTAACTGCAATTAAAGGATTTGTTCTTTATTATTATTTGTTTCAGATCCTGCATGTACAGTTTGTATGTATACATATTTCGTAGACTTTTGCTACTTCAATTTATAGCTGTAAGATTAGAGGTATTGCAGAAATGAAGAATAAAGAATCTTTTGCAATATAAATGTAAATATTGCTTATATAATTATGGTTTCAACCAATTATGGTTAAAACCAATAAATGGAATATATAAATCAGCTATAAAATTTAGCTATAAACTATGAGCAAACTCTTTGAGGGTTGTTATCTTAGCTAAGCAAGCACAACTGTCGCCATAAACGGGCAGTAGATGGCGCCACTTGCAACTAGTTGCTGTCAATTGGCAACAGCTGGCGCGACTCAGAAAGAAATGTTTTAAAAATAAAATTGTCACAGAATGCGACAATTCAATGTGAGTGTAATTAGATCGTCTAAACAATGAATTGAAAAAATTAACTAAATTACAATTTTTGGAGCGAATATCTATTTCAATTATATGTTAGCTAAAATAATATTAAGTATATTTCAAAATTTACTAGTAAGTATTTTGATGTCAAGGTGTTGACCTAATAAAAGTCAAATAATTCATATGCAAAGCCAAAAACTCGCGGTTCGTAAAAAATTAATTCAGAAAATTGAATAAATTACGCGAATTATGTAACAGGCGAACAGAAATCGATGCCAACAGGCAGCAGCAGCAGCAGAAGTCGAGGCGAGGCAGCAGCAGCTACCGCAGAAGTTGAGAACCGTTTAGGAGCACTCAAACAGACACATACACGCACACTCACACACAGACTCTCACACACA